GGGAAAGAGCAGACGAGCCCAGCAGTCAGGAGACACGTGCCTTTGCCACGTGTTACCAAAGGTCTTCGTAAGAGGACGAGCTCCCAAGGCGATAGCGTTTTTCCCTGCTTTCAGTTTCAAGCCCATTTGGCAGGAGGAAGGGGCTTTTCCTCACAAACCATCGTCACACTTGGGCTGGCTTCCAGTCCTGCTCTAGCCCCTTTCCTTTGTTCATCTGCAGCACTCAAATAGCCGCAGAACAATGGCCGAGCCGCGGTGTGTACACACAGCTCTTCCTGCCCAGCCTGCCCCAGCCCCGGCCGCACGTACTCCGTGTTAAGCAAGCCACCATTGTACAAGCACATTTTATGCAGTGACACAAGAGCTTCCACTGGGTTTGAGCTGTTTTAAAAAGAAACAGGTACCTTCTCATGTTTACTCCACGAGAGTGGCCCTAAAAAACCAAGAAAGTCATCGGTGTGTGTAGGAACACCCACCAAGAGCTGCACATGGCCGAATCTACAGAAAAAACAGGGTGTATATGTGGCAGAAGCAGCTGGGTTCAGTTTTTTAAAACTGAAGAAGAGAAGGAACATTTGCCACTTTTTTTTTACTGTATCTGGATTGACCGTTTCTAAGCCCATCAGAAAGGCCTTTCTGATACAGACCATATTAGTAAAGGAAATTTTGCCACACTCAGCCACTTCCTATCACCCCAATATTCTCAAAGGCCTCCCTCTAGCAGAAGGTGAATGGATGTGCCACTACTTCGTGTGGACTTGCAGTGCACGGAAATGGTCACTAGTATGGGAGCAGGAAAGGATCACAGTAAGATGGTGTCAAAGGTTAGGGTCATGCTTAGTTATCTGTCAGGACCAAAAGAAAGAGAAAGCAAAGCCATGGCATGATGCTGAAACTTACCCCCCTTCTGAAGTATGAAAAGTGGACAAACCCTGAAGGTCATGGTGGTAACCAGGACCTGCTTGCCTCCCTTGACTCCCTTGGCTGCTTTCAGTGCTGCTCGAGTTGGTTTTCATGAAAGGTTTCTTGCTGTATGCCCCGGCTCTCAGTTCTGCCTCAAACCCGTTCAGCATTCTCTGAGCAGATCTGTTTCCCACGATTTCATGCTGGTATCCATCATATCTGTTCTCATATGAAACAGGAGGATTTTTTGACAATTTGTATCCATGAGAAATCAGGAGGTCCTCGACACTGAACATGTTGTACTGGTTTCACTCACAGCTGTGCCATCAGAAAGCTCTTTCCAGCAGGACCCATCACTGGAAAACAAAACCAAAAACAAACAGAAGGCTGCTGTAAACAAGGAAAGATATCTTTGACCAGCTGGTAGGCTGCTGAAGCTAGAAGTCTCATCCCCTGGCTTCAGTCTTACACCCTTATAATAAAACAGATTAAACAAAGTGCATGCAGAATCATGGGCTGACCTTCCCTAGACAATGCACCTCCATGCACTCAGCCAAGCAGCCGATGCTGCTGCTGACTCAGTCCTTTTCACTGAAGAATTCACTGGTGATTGCAGCTTTCAGATTTCACTAAGGGATCTCAAAAAAATCTTTGCACTGGAGGTAAGCCCACAATTTGAGTCAGGCATTTCCTTAAAACACAGTTTTTCTTCAGTCATGGCAAGTTGAGCTCTGTATTATGTTTTAAGTTGCTGCAGGAGGAGGGGGCAGGTTACAGGACAATATGCCTCTCCCTACAGCTCTGCATATTCCAATTAAGAAAAAATGTTCACATGAACAGGGACAAAATATGCATGAGAACAAAAATGAATTATGGAACCACATTAAAAACCCAGGTAACATCATGCAATAACCCAGATAAACTGCCCTTTTTACAGATTCCTCTCTTTCTGGCCTGCATTGGCCTGCCGGAGATCAGTAATCCTCAATTAGAATAATACAAAACCTAAGATTTCAAGTATGCTCTATTTTTACAGCAGACTTCCAGTGCATAAAATGACTGGGAACAACCTGAGATGTCCGTGTCTATTGTGTCTCAATGATTCCAAGACACAGGATAGTCAAGATTTTTCTTCCCAGTGACAGCCCTCAATTCTAAACTGACTAGAGCAAAGATCCAGCAAACTGAATTAGTTGGCTGGAAACAATCTCTATTGTCTATACCACTCTCACAGCTTATTATGGCAATTACAGAATACCCATTCTTCCAGAGTTTCAAAAGGAGTGGAAGGTAACTATCTATTCCATAGGTTGTGCACAACAATGGACCCATTCTGGTACATTCCTCCTTGAATTGTGTTACCAGAAGAAAGAAATAACAAAAAGGTGGATAAAGAAGAAGTGAAACACACAGAAATAGGTTTGTTATCTAAAACATAAAACACTCAAGATGATTTTCCCTGCATGAAGAGTTCATTTCACATGCCTGGTGAGTAGTCTCCATAGTAGTAACAGGTCTACCTGAGGGACAGGAGCCCAGCATTGGCAGCTACTCAAAAGGAGAATGTCTGCAAAGATCATGACAAGCAAGTGCATTTTATACAGTGGTCTCTAATGCTCTTCTTGGGCAAGAAGAAGGGGAGAACTCTCTTCACTGCTGTTTACGATAATTTACTTGAGATAGAGCAACTACTGAGATGCCTGTTGCGTGTTTATTAGTACTAAATCTCCCAGGCTACATATACACAGAAGTTGATGGGTTGGCTTAGAATATAAACCAGTTTCTGTGGTGCAGCACTCCATATATTATGTCCATTTTTTGCCTATCCAGCGCCCCAACTGTTTCCCGCTCCCGCCCTGTCTCCTGGATGCTCTTCAGCCTGCAGAGCCGGTCTGCCTGGCCGCTCCGAGCCAGCTTGGTGTGCGTCTCCCGGGCACGCAGGGACCCTCCAGCCGCCTTTGCCCTGCACTGCCCACAGCTCGCCCAAGGACAGCCCACACTGTGGAAAAACATGCACAGTTTTTAGGCAGAGCCACAATTTAACTGGTAACCTGGAATGCTGCAAAAGTGGCTTTTCAGCCCGAGAGCCTGCTGAGCACTTAAACCGGTTTGTCTCTAGAGCTTAATGAATCTCTTCCCTTTTCACACATGTAACACTACACACCCTTTAAAAACAGAGAAATAAAGCTCTGTGTTGAACATATTTTAGGAGTATCCCTTGCTAGAACAAGACTCCAAATTCCCAATAAGCACTCTGAGTAAGCAAGCCAGCAGTTAAGTACAAGCAGGCAGAAAGCAGGGAGGAGCAGGACCCTTCCCTCTTGGAGGGAAGGGAAGGCTTCATGGGTTATTTTTGAATGCTGACCTAAAAGGCTGATTTTCCATCTATCCACTGCCCTGGACTGTGCAAGGGTCCAGGTACGAGCACAGCAAAGGGGGACAGCTGGCTGCTAAAGCTGTTCAGCTTCCAGCAGGAGAAAGATCTGATCTGACTACCATAAACAGCAGAAGGCCCACTGGAGCGCGCACGCAGGTGCAAGAAAGAAATGTGCTTTTCCTGCTATTATTGTCAGGCTGGCTTGGAGAGCAGCTTAACCC